TTATTTACGTGTTAATTATGTGTATTTTATTATTATTAGTTGATCTTGCAAATTTCGTGAAATTCTAGTACATAAATCGCACATTTTCTACGTCCAAAACTACATAGTTTTTAGCTAGGGTTTTGGGGGAAGCACAAAGTCCTTGAATAAGTACACTTTTTATCTTCTTTCAGTCACATCACTTTTTTATTTTTGTACATATCTTTTCGTACAAAGTTAAAAGTACACTTATTTAGATTATCCCAAATCACTCCTAAACAAATTGGTATAGCTCTGGAATCTTAATTTCATTCAACACATTGTTTGGTTTAAACTTTTTAAAATTGATTTCAAGTCACATTTCAAAACTCATTTGAAAACCTGTTTGGCAGTACAATGAGTTTTTGAATTTTGAAAAGAGCAATTTTGGTCTACTCAGACATCTCCCGGATGTCTGACTGATCGTCCGGCCAATTGACCGGAACAAATTTTTTTTTTTTTTGCAATTGCTAATTTTCCAAAAGGCACCTGTTATTTGGAAGAAAAAAAAAATGGGAATTTGTTTTTGATTTTTTTAAAAAAAATACTTTGAACCAAATATACAATAAAAGTTACTTTAAATCAGTAATTGAATATTTATTTTGAAAAAAAAAATGTTTCCTTTGTAATATTTTCAATTAAAAAAATTGATTAATGTTATTTTTTGTTAATAATTAATTTTTTTAATTGAATTTTAAAAAGAATTTGGTTATGAATGTTGATAAGAATTTTCAATAAAGTTTTGAGTAGTGTGTTTGGTTATGAGTTATAAAAATTTGAATTAAGTTGTGAAAGCTCTTTCCATATCTCATAACCAAACAATTTTTTTTTATTTCACATGTTATATCAAATATTCAAAACTTAATTCAACACTCAACTCAAAATTCAATTCAAAACTTATAACCAAACAAATTTTCTACGCTCAAATCATCATTTCAAAACTCACAAACTCAAATACAATTTTATTCTCAAATCATATTTAGAAAATTTTACCAACCGCTATTAATATTTATTTTTTTTGGGGTCCTAGAGCACCAGCTGAACCACTTTCTCTCTCTTGTCCCTACCATTTGTCATCTTTACCTCAAATAATGCATACAAACACTTGGGTCTCACTTACACCTTCTCTCCCATTCACCATTTGGGAAATGTAGACACATGGGCCATTTGACCACCTTGTTACACACACACACATATATATATATATATATATTTATGAACCTGATTTTTGCGCGCGCACACACATATATATATAGATATATTTATGAATCTGATTTTTGAATCTAGGGTGAGGACTTGAAGGATTTTTAAGATTCAATCTTAGCCATTAGTTACAACTTTGGTTAAGGGTTAACCTAGGGTTGTTGGGGGTTGAGTTAGAGGGATAGAAGCTCTCATTCAGCCACTTCATTCCCATCCTCAAAGTTCTAAAGCCTAAAAATACAAGAACACACTCTCTTCTCTCTCTAAATTTCTCTCCCCCTCTATAGAATTATAACTTTTAAAATGAAGCATAAAACAGAAATTTAGCAATATACATACACATATACTTCCATCAACTCAAACTTAGGTGGAGAGAGAGAGAAGGGATATCACAAAGAGGGGAAGAGTAGGGCTGAGCAAGGAATCCGTGAAATCCGTAATCCGATCCAGTCCAGTCCAATCCAGTAGATTTGGATTGATTTTTTGAATCCGTGGTTCGGTTCTGGATTAAAAAATTAAAAATTCGTAGTTTACGGATTGATTCCAGATTGAACCCCACGGTTCCGGATTGGAACCGATCCGAACCGTATACAAATAATCTATATTTTTATTATACACCCTCATGCATAGTATCTTCTCTTATTTAATATAAAACTCAAATCCAAACCTAAATTCGCATAGTATCTTCTTTTATTACTTTTGTTTGCAAGTTTTTAGTGTTAATTTGTAATGGTCTAAATACTTATGGTGGAACCAGTTTTCTTATGATTGTTTAAATATTAGAACAGTATGTCGCTATTATAAAAAGACATGTTGCTATTGTGAAACTAATATGGTGCTATATTTATATTTTTAGGAAATTAAAGTGTTATATATAATTTTTATTATACACCCTCATGCATAGTATCTTCTCTTATTTAATATAAAACTCAAATCCAAACCTAAATTCGCATAGTATCTTATTTTATTACTTTTATTTGCAAGTTTTTAGTGTTAATTTGTAATGGTCTAAATATTTATGGTGGAACCAGTTTTCTTATGATTGTTTAAATACTAGAACAGTATGTCGCTATTATAAAAAGACATGTTGCTATTGTGAAACTAATATGGTGCTATATTTATATTTTTAGGAAATTAAAGTGTCATATATATTTTTTATTATTTAATTATGTAAATCCGTGGTCCTAAACCGATCCAATCCGTGATTAAATGGATTGGTTCGGATTGGTTTTACGATTTAAATGGATTAGATTGGTTCCAATTTTTCAAGAACTGTAGATAACGGATTGGTCTTAATTTTATCCCAATCCGATCCAATTCGGACCATGCTCACCCCTAGAGAAGAGGAAAGGGAGTCATGCTGGTCCGGTGAAGAAGAACAAGAAAAACTTACCATTCCTCTTATAAATAAATTTACACAAATAAATAGAGGAAAATGATATTTTTATACAAGAATAATGGTAAATTACAAAGGTTTGCTTGAAATATAAATTGCCTCTTATAATTTTGAAAATTATATCTAGTTGCTTGAAATTTAAAATTTAATAATGTCATTTTATTAATAAATTATCAAGTCAATTACTAATTTTTACTGATATCAGAATTTTATTTCAATTAATAATTTTTGTAATTTTATTACTATATATGATAGCAATTAGAAATTTTATTTTTTTAATTAATTCTATTAAACAAAAAATTTTAGACAATGAGATATTTATAATTTTTCAAATCACAAAGAACAATTCGTATTTTAGGCAAACTTCAAAAGGTGTGTTTGTGATTTACCCTAAAAATAATGTGATAATTAAATGAATGCCAATAAATTCTTTGTTTAGGCTAAAAAACTCGTCAAGTAATTATGTAGTATGCTTTTTTTGATAAGAATTTATATCATCTCGTGATAAATAAAATAAATAGTTAAAACTTGTTCAAGATTAATTTATTATATAAACAAGTTAAACTTAAATACATTTCAAAACTCGTGAGGTTATCAAACTAAACTTCTTAATTCGGTTTGCTTGAAAACTAACCTTATATCTAGTTATTTGAGTAATTATTTTTTCAAAAATTTCATATTGACAATGGATGTGTCGTGAGTAACTATTTTTAAAAAAAAAAAAATCATGTGAGTAATTATTTTTTTCAAATATTTCATATTGACGATGGATGCACACGACATGACCTGTGATGTTTTGAACTCGTGATAATTTCTACCAAGTATTGGGTAGACTTTTTTTTTTTTTTTTCATCAACTTTGTAATTCATCACAACATGGTGGGTTGTATAAAAAATTGACAACAGTTGCTAACTACACATTTTAACTTTAGCCCCGTGAAACACTAATAAATCCCAAAATATAAACTAAACACTAATAAATCCCAAAATATAAACTAATGCACAGATTAGTCCTGCATCTTTTCTGATGAACCAAAAAGTCCTAAAATGTACAGAATGGCAAATAAGTCCTCCACTATCAATGTGTTTATGTTTTCCAATGGAGGGCAATGTGGGTTTTGGGTACTGACAAAATTATTGTTCTGGACATTGAGCGCACTATAGGGTTTTATAGTTTTCCATCGTTTTTTATCATATCTTTGAACCTGCGTAAGGAAACATTGGTAATCAACATTTCCACATTCTAACATTACCATCTCGGTGGGTTGAAACCCTAAATATGGTTTTTGGATATTCGAAGATAGTTTATACAAATTCCACGTTCGTGAATAGGGAAGATCCGTAATTGGGTGTAAATATACATCACGCCCATCACTTGGGAACATCACCAATTGCAACGGCTAGAGATTGAGATCGTCTTCTCCGGTGGTCCAACTGAGTAACATTAACATCATCAGAGTTAAGTGCCCTATATGCCGACGTTTCAACCATTGACGGTGTGACTGACGATGACAATGAAGCTTGAAGGTTTGTTGTTTTTACAATTGCATTTGTTGATGTATTTTGAACGATGTTGATGTTGATGATGTCGCTAATGTTGATGATGTCGCTAGCGAACTCGCATTCATCAAAGTATTTCTAGCAAGCAATGGAAGAGTGGGGGAGAGTAGGGACGAGTGTGAGCTCTTTCTTCACCTCTTCAAACGGCTCGAACACTACACCGGTAAAAGACCGATCGTCTGGGCCCTTGGAAGTGCAAACCACAAACCCATTTCCGATCTCGACTTTCGAAGAAACCCCCAAAACAAATGATCCAAATGGACTCAGATTGTCCCCATCAGGGTTCAAGAGAAAGAGAGTCGAAGCAATTCGGAGAAGCATAATTGTGTTTGTAGAGAGAGAGAGAGAGAAAGGTTTGTAGAGAGAGAAAATGAAGTTGAGGAAGAACAGGGAAAGATGAGAGGGTTTAGGAGTATCAGAACAAACGAGGTGGGAAAGTGAAGCTCCAATCAAAACTGATGAACTCTTTTACATGGAGTTTACATTATAAAACATATAAGATTCTTGAAAGCTTACATGTAAACCAAACACCAAACTCAAAATGTTGTTTTGTTATGTCCCAAAATATAACATTATAAACCGAACACCAAATTGGAAATGGTGAAATAATTTCCAGAAGAGTTCACGAAATCCCCTCCTACAAAATAGTAATGTTACAACATCTCTTAAACACAAACATCATGACAAAATCAAAATAAAATCACAATACGGGCAAAAATATAAACTCCATACATAATATATCAAAAACATTATCATACCAAAAATAAAAAAGACTAAATGGTTTAACAAAACACACTCAGGACTAACTAGAACAACATTTACCAAAATGAAATTTATGAGTAATTTTTCCTTTAAATAGTGCATTACAACATGGTGATTGTTTAGAAATTAACACTAATTGCTAACTAGATTATTCACACAAATTCAATAGTCTGAGTATATTGAAAACACGTAATATTTCAGGGGTGCAAAATATAATTTAACCTATTTCTTAAACAAAAATGCTTCAGAACTCGAAATTTCTGTGGCTCAAGTGGCCCGAATCCAAAACGACATCGATTTGGATTTTTTTTTTTCTCCCCTCTTTTATATCTGAAACAGAGGGAGAGAGGGAAGGGAAGAGAGAGAGAGAGAAGAAAGAGGGAACAAGAAGGAAGAGAGAAGAGGGAGGGGGAACAGACCATCACCGGCGCCCGCCATCCTCTGTGTATACATAAATCTGTATCTCTCTCTCTATGTATCTATCTCTCTCTCTCTCGTTCTTTGTATCTCGCTCTCTCTATGAAGTCTCTACGTGTGATGATAATGATGTGTTGATAATAATGATGTGTTGGATGGGTTTGATTTTTGGTTGATCTCTATGTGTGATGATGATAATGTATTGATGATGATGTGTTGGGTGGGCTTGATTTTTGGTTGATGATGATGATTCTCTCTTTCTACTCCTCTCCTCTTCTCTTCTTTCTTCTTCTTCTGCGAGTTATGAAAAAAAAAAAAAAAAAGAAGCCAAACCAACGTCATTTTGACTTTTCAGGCCACTCGAGCCTCTAATTTTTCGAGCTACATAGCAGGACTATTTCTTAAATGAAGATTCCCACATAAATACCGCATCTCCCCAATGTATCACAAATGGCCCTCCATCTCCAACATCAATAAATTAACGCACACAAAAAGTACATCTAGATTAATAAAACACTAGAATATTCAAAATTAAACAAAATTTGTAGAGAGAATCTCTTTCATCATCGTTTCTTTGACTTTTTGGATGACTTCCCATGTGAATATCTTTCAATTCCTTCCACTTCATCATCTTCTCCCCTTCTTTTCTTCTTGCCACCAGCTTCTTTAATTTTCTACAAAAATTTCAGAATTAAGAAATATAAATCATTCAAATGGGGACAATAATAAATATATATATATACATATATATATATATATATATATATAATAATAAAAAAAAAGGACCAACAAAGTGACACCAAATTTCTTATTTTTAGATATAGGTCGTGACCAGGAGTGAGGGCCACCCATTTTCTTATTCTCCTCTCTACGAAATCAGTAAATTGACAAGTTCTCAACTGCAAACTTCAGTGAAATCCCAAGTCTAACAAAAAATCCAAGGGCAGTCTGCAAAAGAGACATATCCTATTGTAACAAGTATTCCACTGAATCAGGAATTTTAAAAAAATGAGAAATTTTGGAGCATAGCCACCAAACAAGAGATAAATACAAGGGCATCAGTCAACATGCTACAAGTTTGTAACCAATATCATTATGATATGGTTAGTCTGACTAATGTGACTATCAGCCACTGATACCTGATGTACCGACTAGTTCCTAGCATCAACTTGAAGTACTATTTTATCATTCAAGTCCTATAAAATACATGATGGATATTATAGAAATCCTGATCATCACCACAAAGCCAATCAGAGGACAATACAACACAGCAAAGGCTAACAAATAATCCATATGAAATTCATGAATTTGATAGGCAAATCTTCCTAATGAACTCCATCCATTAAACCCTGGAAACCGACAAAAACACCAATTCACTATGTCCCAATTGATAATGCAAACTCAGTTCTGGTCCTTCATAAATTAGAAAAGATAATAGTAGAGAAGTTAACGACTTCATACCATATCCGCTATTCTTTTGGCCTCTGTGACGCGCTCCAACAACATCAGAACTTCTTCTTCTTGAGCTGGAAACATGGGCAACTTCTTACCTGAAAAATGGATAAAATGTTAGTGAGGAACAGTTTATCATGGATTGACTACCACACCAGTGTAATGTCTTTCCTACCGATAAGCTTCTCTATCTGTATATACCACTCCAACTCATACTGACTAACTATCGAGATTGCAACCCCAGATCGTCCTGCCCGAGCGGTTCTTCCCACTCGATGTATGTAATCCTACAGGCCATTCGTAAATTAGAAAATTAAAGCACATCAGATTAAGCGAGGATAATGACTCTCTTTTCCTAATATTGCTGTTTTAAGTAAAATCCTTATCAATAACACATTCATTGTCAGGGATGTCTAGGTGCATGATTTCCCATGCTTGTGACTAACTACGGGAGCTTTAAGAAATTATATACATAAACATTTAAAAGAACTAAGGCAGAAATAAACAAATGATAAAATCAGTAAGAATAAGAAGAATATTACCCAAAAAAATAAAAAACAAAAATACATGAAATAAGCATGTGTCAGTGGAAACAATTGTTCCTAGGAATTATGTGTGTGTGTGTGTGTGTGTGTGTGTGTGTGTGTGAGAGAGAGAGAGAGAAATTATTCTTGAATCTCAAATAAAACATGACAATATATAATCTAGGTATTAGTGGAAACATCATCCAAGTTGTCATGGATAATTGAGAGAATCATTTAAGCACCAGCTCAAATAGGAACTTAATGAAGAAAAGGAACATATACCACACCAATCAAATGCTACTTTAACTTGGTTAGACCTAATTTTGTAAGGGAATTCTAGATCATAAATGGTAACTAACGTATAGTGCAAAAAAGCATAACCCATAAAACAATGAAAGTATAGGAAGTAAAGGCACCAGATGGTGCAAAGGTCTAGGCTGAAGTGCCAGATACAAAACCTGCATTTAGACACCAAATGGAAAGGATGCCTAACCTTTGAGTTTGAGGGGATATCATAATTGATAACCATATCCACAGATGGAATATCAAGTCCCCTACTAGCAACATCAGTGCAGACAAGGATATTACACTCTCCAGCCTTGAACTTGTTTAAGGCTCCAAGTCTTTTCGCCTGCCACACATATTTCTTAGACAAGGTGACAGTAAATTTGAACTAAACAGGAGTGATCCAAATGAAGACCACTGAGTATCTAAAGCAAACCCATGATAAATTTTGTTATCATAAAATCCATGTACATACCTGGGTCATATGACCACTAATAGGGATGGCCCTTAAACCAAGGTTTCGAAGCATTTGAGCCAAAAGGCCCGTCGAATCACATGTTCGAGTAAAAACCATTGACGTACTTCCAGATTTCTCACTCAGAATATATACAAGATAGCAATTCTGCAACCAATAGTAGAGATGAATTCAGAGCATAAGAACAATACCACACGATGATAGGGTGATGCACATTATGAAGGCAGTTTTTGCATCATCGATTCCAATTGGGACCCATGCTAGGTACACAAGGCCACACACTAACACTTTCCCCTCACTGGGAACCGCTAACTATCTAGTTTGCCAATTATAAAAGCAAGCCTAACTGGATAGTTTTCACATGTCTGCTTCTTGGTGCTAACCTTATACACATCTTTAATAAATAAGCGTAAAATTGATTTAAGCCTTTAATTTATTTTGGTTGGTGTTTAAGTCTTTAATTTCAACATCAACCAAATAATCAAATATATTAAGACAAAGAGACGATCTGCTCTTCAAACAGCAGCCTCAGGGATAAACTAAATAAAATAATCACTGTATAATCAAAACCAACTGATTCACACTTTTTTTTTCTTCTGTTATGTACGTTTTCCTTCTTTTTTTTCTTTTTTGGCTGATTGTTGGCTACTGCCACATCTTCTTTTTGGTATAATACTGTAACATTGTTCAACTTGTTCAAAACTTAACACTGTAGACAGAATGCACTGCCTCCTGTTGGCATTTCCTATCTCAAGATCTTCAAAAAATGAACTACAACAGAAACCCCAAATGCTATAGGAGGAAACCTTGTGCTTCGCAGGGACAAAGAGATACTGCTGCTTCAGTGAATCAACAGTGGAATATTTAGATGCAGCCTCAATCTGATAGGATTTACAAATTGATGTTAGACACAGATTAATGAAGAAAACCATGAAGAAAAATGATGCAGTGACAATTATTATTTATCATACCTTCACAGGATTCCTCAGGCAAGCCCTCTGGAGCTTCCTTACCTGCAACAACCAGGGAGTAACTTGGTCAACAGTTTCCTTATTGTAAGTAACACACCAATTTCTTGAAATCACAACATATATTTAACCAAGGTTCTAACAAAAGCACACAATAATTTATTCTTTCCTGCTTCTATCATCTATCATATTTAAAGGTTCAGGTATATTTAAGTTTGAGTGGGCTCTAATAGAGGGAACATGGTAAGAGCAGAACGTTCAATAATTTCAGTACCTAGATTATTTGCATACAGTATGAGGGGACATGCGATTCAGAAGACAATCAGTTCACCCATCAAACAAAAGAATATATCACATAGAAGATAGCAGAATCATTGGCTTCATGTCCAAAAAAATGTTTTTCCTATTTCTATTTACTATAACTTTTTTGGGTTTTCGGATAAATATCAATTCAAAGCATAAAATAGAAACCAAATAAATAAAAAATGCAGGACCACAAATCATCCGATTTCAAAATCCTGCTTTTGGACTCCCACATACTATTATTTTGTTTGTTGGCAACACTGCAGCAAGAATGGACACTACTACTAGATGTCTTTTTCTACTTCGCCAAGCAACCACTGTGATTAAGAACATAAGAAGAATTAACAGAAAGAACATAAGTCACCCCTCTTGCTTGAGGTTTTGTTTACTGTTTTTTTGCTATCCAAGGCCAATTGACAATCTTGATACAGCTGAGGATGACATTCAAAAATACCTGGCTGAGAGATGAGGCTGTAGGGAACCTATTATTTCAAAGTCAAACTCTCAGGTTTTTAGCTTGGGACGGTGGAAGATCCCATTATTCCAATAAAGTCCTTAACCTCTAGTATATTACAAAAATAATATCTTGCACAAAAAGCTGGAAAGCTCAACATCCAATTTACAGTAAGTGTTGTGGACCATCTCATTCCCTAAAACTTATAAACCATGCTAACATTAGATTTAAATATTATAACTGAATCAACTCAACAAACTTCATGTTTGATTAGACTAAGATACAAATCAACTTTATGTAGCACTAACGATTTTTTATGGTTGGCTAAATAGTAGCGGGGATATGTGTGGAAATGAGAAACATAACCTTAATGCTTCTTTTTTTTGGTGATATTATAATGTGGCTCTATACACGTACCACGTACAACCACCCATAAGTGCATACACTCTCAAATAGAGAACATACCTAACCTGAAACTTAGCCAAAATAAATAAAGATCACAACTAGATTGGCTAGGGGGAGGGGCAAAACCTCAAAGTCAACATATGGCAACCAATAAACAGGTGACACACATCCCATGTGGTAGAAATACTAGTTTGGTGGAAACATCCATTTCGTTAGAGAAATGAAATAGTCCCCCACTGCTCACAACAAAACCAACTATTACAGGGCACAAAGACTCCAGTTGAATAGCACAACAAGAGGCAAAGCAGGAGATCCCTCGCCCCAAAAAATAAATCCTTCATTTTCTAACAGATAACATGTATAAGAGCCCATTATGAACATGGTCAGACAGGACAGGTGAGACAGATGGCTGATAAACACCTCTCCCAATAGAAACGTGCTTGACCATTCATGGTTGTCATCCATCTTCAATCTCACAACAACACCAACATAGCCCTGGAAATAACACCAACCAACAGATTGCATTTCCCAAAGCCCCCTCTCTATCTCCTCACTGAAAAAGTGATACATACAGCCAAAAAGAAGTATTAGCCCATTGTTGAATGAATGCCATAGCATTCACGATCAAAGGCACATACTAGTCACCGCCAGCATGACCAATACCCAAGGAGGTCAAGGCTAGACAACTACAAACAGAACCCACAAAGCTCAGGACCAAACCTTAACAACACTCAACACTGGAACTCCCAGGAAGCTACTTCCAACCACACATGCAAACCCATCACAAGAGCAAAGAAACACCCCACCGAAATCTTCGCCCTCTCTCCTCCAATGGCCTCACACTGAACTAAGGTGGTGCAACGCATGGCACACCACTTCTCATCACCATAGCCAGGAAAAAATGATAAGAGAACAAAGACCCACCAGTGTACTGGTCCAGCACCCCTATTGGACAGCCAAAACCCGAAGACCAACAAGTTAGCAAGCCAAGTCAAAGCAACACAGCCGAGATAAATGTCTAAATCCCCTGAACATCCATAAAAGGACACCAAAGGCACTGCTCAGACAAGAACTAAGATGGAGATTCGACTAGGAACAAAAACACCCTAACGATGAATAAACAATTATTTTTTGGGTAACAAAAAATGGATGTGCAAATAGGTTACTCCACACATCCGCCAGGGAGCATTGCCCCTTAATACCCACAGACATTTGCCGAAATGAAACCAACACCGCACCTACGTCGGGGCTGGAGTTAAGGTTCCAGCATACTCTGGGAATTAAGAAGTAGGTGTAACCCCAATAATCCGCTATGGAGGAGACTTCAACCCAGGCATTGAGATAGACAGACAAGCTCCTTACCACTAAACCAACAGATAATTGGTAACAATGAATAAACAATAATCCAAGGGTATAAAGAGGTTCTCTATGACAAGAGATGCATGTGAAAATCTTCATCTTTTCCATGACATAGAGCCATGGGAAAAGCTCAAGAGATGTATTTGAAAATCTCCATCATCTCAACACAACCTTTAGACATGTATGGGTGTCATGCGTTTCAAGGATATTAAAATTAAAAAAAAATAAAACTGAAGGAAGATAATGTCCAAATAATTCATTATTGAAAAACCTGAAGATACTGCTCCATTTTTTTTCTTGGAAACCGCAATTTCAAAATCAGCTTTTTTTTCCTCAAAAAGTTTTTATGGAGTTTCTGACAAATATTGGAAGCAGGGAGCTTGATGCGTTCGATAATTATTGAGGAAGGGAAGAAGTGTCAATTGGACAATAAAAGAACATTTCAAAAAACATTTAACTGCAGTTTTGTACACAGATAAATTTTCATGAGTTCAAAAAAGCAAGTCAATAAATGAGATAAATGAGACAACAACCAGTTAGAACTTATGTAGCCAATACAAACAATCATGAACTCATCACCAAAAAACAATAATTTTTTTATGAATGCATAAAACTAAATAAAATTTGTAAGCACATGGGAAAAAAATACTCGAACATGTATTTTGTGGTCATAGTAGTAGGAAAAATATTCAAATACATACCTTTTTTGTCATAGTCGCAGAATATAAATATGTATTTCGTTCGCGGGGAATAACACTCAAAAGTTCATCAATCGCTTTCTCAAAATCCTCATTTAGCAACCTATCTGCTTCATCCAATACCTGACAAATGTACAAACAAGCCACGCATTTAAGAACTTACTTATTAGACACATATTATTCATGTAACACATCATTTCGTACTTGAAGTCGCCAAGTTAGGCACCAATTCCAAAATCAAATAACCCGTCAAGTGGAATAAATTATAATAAACAATGAAGTTTCTAAATAAAAGTCATAATAAATAATGAAGTTTCTTGATAACTTTGCCAACTAATCACAAATAAAACGTATAGGTTAAATGGCTGCAATGTTAACATCCTCCATTCGCATGGACAAACATAAGCTTTCCATTTATGGGGTCACATATCGAGGTACACAATGGGAATCTAAAAATTGATAATAAGATACAATGAGAATTAACAACCTTGCATATGAGAATTGAGTGAACTTTTGGCATGCAACAATTATATGGGTCTCTTTGGCACATTAGAGCTAGTCTGCTACAAATTCTTAGTGAAAAATATAGTGCACTTGGCACATTTATAATCACAGCACATATAATAATGAGATAAAGAGAGAACCTCGGAGAAACTCAAAACAAGGCATAAAACATCTTACCAAGAATTTTATTGTCCGAAGAGAAAAACCTTTAGTGTTGGATAGATGATCCAAAAGACGACCAGGAGTTGCCACCTACAAAGACGACCAAAACTAAATGAATGCACAAAATAAACGAACTAAAATTAAATTGGGATAATAAAGAAAAATAAAAAAAAATTCCAACAGATCAACATATCTACAGTTGGGGCAGGATCCTTAATGGTATTAAAAAAATCATTGAGTGATCAGACAACACTGAATTTCATAAATTATTTGTCAAAATAATGATTATGTCATGGAAAGCAAAACACAAACTTAGTGCCCCATTACTTTTGTAGGACCTCAGCGCTTACCATCTTAACAAAACCCATAGATAGTAGTGAATGCGCAATTTATTCCCTTAAAAGGTATAGCGCTAAGCGTCACAAGTCGACTGTGACTCGGCCTTACCCCAGGCTTCCGCCACGGTAGGATGCTGGCCCAAGCCCAAGCCAACAAATCCCCTCCCCCCAGCACCTGCCCGCAAACAGCATGCCCTCCAAGGGAATTGAACTTGAGACCTTGCTCTGATATCAATTGTTATCCAAAAGACAACCTAGGAGGGGGGAGGGGGCGTGAATAAAGTTTCTACAATTAAAATGCTAACAATTACCTAATAAAAATTTAAACAACAAGAACAACAAATATAGCAAGTATATCAGATGGTAAGAAGAAGTAGATTATGACAATGAGTATATTTGATATATTATGTTTGATAAGTAAATGAAGGCTGGATGATTAACACAATAATATCATACAGTAATGGCAAAATGAATTGGTAATGAAATATCAGTTAGCTATAGTAGAAAGGTGAAGAACTTGAGATGAACTCAACAACAGATAACCGTATCAACTATAGCAGTAAATGATATGTAAAGAGATAAGGGAAAAGGATGCAAACAGATTTATAGTGGTTTAGCTTTAACCAAGCCTACATCCCCTCCTCAAGCTTCACTTAAGATTTTCCACTATTTCTCTAACTTCATAGGGGTGCTAGCAACCTCTTCACAAATGAAGCAATCCTCCACAGATTTTACACAGGCTTTATAGGCCTTCAAAATCTTGAAATCCTTAGATGATTCTCAATCACTCTCAAGGTTTCAAGAACACCGTGTGTACTACACTCTTACAAATTGAAATGGTGTTTTTGCTTTCAAAGAAAGTTGTAATGAAACTCTCTCAAGAAATATTACAAAGATTGAAGTTTTGTGTTATATCATTTAAGAGACCTGTCATAGGTAAATGGGCTTAAAGCTAAAGCTCAAGATAATTTCTGAGGAAAGAGGAAATACAAATGAAGAACACTTCAGAAGATGATGAAAGATGTGATTGATGAAGAATGAAGAAAATGTTTTGCGCGTTGCATCTTCTTGTGCTTTGCAGCAGTGCTATGTTTTGTGCGTTCCATCTTCTTGTGCTTTGCAGCAGTGCTCAGAGCTCTGTTATATACAAAGTTTAAGTGCTCTGTTAAATCTGACAGAGCCCATTCTTTTCCTCCTGTTGAGTGATGGGTTGGTGATGGCTAAGGATGATATATAATTGAATTCTCAGAGTATCTCTATCACCCATGTGTGTTTTGTCCGTTGAATGATGGGTCACTGAGCCAAAAACCAACACGCAGCATCTTCTGACATATGTTGCTTTGAATAGAGGGACGTCCACCCAAATGTCATAAGTGAAGTTTTGTTTCTATGGGACGTCTGCTCGGATATCCCGTCAAGGAAGCAAAACTGATAGAAAGCGAAACTGGGCCAAAATGCCATGGTTGGTTGTCTGCTCGAACGTCCGGACCCTTGTGGGCTTGGCTGTTGTGTTCTACTATTCTGCTGTTGTTCCATGCTTCATTCAGCATTTGTTTAAGCTTATATTTGATCTCAAAAACAATAAGATTGGATTAATGACATAAATTAATTTTAATGTATGAATTATCTTACACAGGCTTAAACATAATCAATTAGTAATAAAAAGATTCAGATCATCCAATTAGTGATCATTTTGATCTTCAGACACATGATTAGTACGAGGATGAAATGAGATGGTTAAGTCTATTAATCATGTTTTCAAAATCATTTTAAGATAAATCAAAACATTTAAATAAACATCATAAAAATATATAATATCTAACAATCTCCCCATTTTTTATGATGGCACACCAAGATGTCTTGATTTGAATGAAATGAGAAAAGCTCCTCCTTAAGTCATGCTCCCCCTGATTGTTTGCTTCCTAGAATGTCAGCTCAAAAACAATAGAGATCAATATAAGCAAAAAACTGACATAAATTAGATTTAATTAAAGTTACTTGCATAAGCACAACTTACTAGAATAAGAAAATGTATGTCTCAAGGGAAAAACAAAAAGAGATCACCACGTTTTCTCCTATGACATTATCAAATAAACATAAGAAACGGAGTTCACAATGTATCATTAGGTGGTGGTGGACAGAAATGCTGATAGATGCCATCAACTCGGTTCTTGATATGATCAATGCGGATGTTCAAGGCTTGATGACGAAGTTCAGTGGCTACCCGAAAGTCACCGAATTGCTGAATCAAAGAGTGTTGAGCTTGCCCCAAGATCCTCCAGCTGAGTTCCAAAGTTAGCCATTTGAGTGGACATTTGTTGTTCCCATTGGAGGCGTTGATTATAGCGTTCTTGTTCCACAACCATAAAATCTGTCCAATATGCAGGAGGTGGAGGCTGCTACGGTGGTGGCATGTCATCCGGATTCTGTTCTTGAGGATCTACCATAGGTGCATCAGGAGGATGCAAACTGCACGCAAAACATCACTTCCTCCAGCCCGATTGATAGTATATTCACTATGTCAAAGGCTATTTTGGAGTAAGGCTTATTTGAAGAACTGATGTTTTGCGTAGCAATTTGCATGCTCCTGATGCACCTATGGCAGATCCTCAAGAACAGAATTCGGATGACATGCCACCACCACAGCAGCCTCCACCTCCTGCATATTGGATAGATTTTATGGCTATGGAACAAGAACACTATAATCAGCACCTCCAATGGGAACAACAAATGTCCACTCAAATGGCTAACTTTGGAACTCAACTGGAGGATTTCGAGCAAGCTCAACACTCTTTGATTCAGCAATTCGGTGACTTTCAGGTAGCCACTGAGCTTCGTCATCAAGCCTTGAACACTCGCATTGATCATATCAAGTTGATGGCATCTATCAGCACTTCTGTACATTGTGAACTCTGTTTCTTATGTTGTTTTTGATAATGTTACAGGGGGAGAAAACGTGGTGATCTCTTTTTGTTTTTCCCTTGAGACATACATTTTCTTATTCTAGTAAGTTGTGATAAGCAAGTAACTTTAATTAATCTAATTTATGTCCATTTTTTACTTATACTGATCTCTATGTTTTTGAACTAACATTCTATTAAGCAAACATTCAAGGGGAGCATGACTTGAGAGGTAGCTTTCCTCATTTCATACAAATCAAAACATCTTGGTGTGCCATCATCAAAAATGGGAAGATTGTTAGATATTATATATTTTTATGATGTTTATTTAAATGTTTTGATTTATCTTAAAATGATTTTGAAAACATGATTAATAGACTTAACCATCTCATTTCATTCTTCATACTAATCATGTGCTTGAAGATCCAAAAGATCACTAATTGAATGATCAGAATCTTTTTGTTACTAATTGATTATGTTTGAGCCTGTGTAAGATGATTCATGCATTAAAATTAATTTACGTCATTGATCCAATCTTATTGTTTTTGAGATCAAATCTGAGCTTAAACAGATGGTCAATAAAGCATGGAACAACAGCAGAACAACAGAACACAACAGCCAAGCCCTCAAGGGGCCGGACGTCCGAGTAGACAACCGGCCATGGCATTTTGGCCCAGTTTTGCTTCTATTTAGTTATGCTTCCTTGACGACCGGACACAACCGAACATCCGGGCGGACGTCCCACAGAAACAAAACTTCACTTGGGACATCCAGGTAAACGTCTATGATCGGATCCTAAATGTCTCACATTTGGTCCACAAACATACATTTTATTAGTCTATTAATTTGTATTATTTAATAGCTTTGTGTGATTTTTTATATTTGTATATATTTTGAGAGTTTGTACTTAAATTGTTTTAAATAATATATTTTAATATTATATTATAATATAAAATAACAAATAAAAAAATATCTCGGTGGAGGTGAGAATCACCCACCCACCGTTCCAACATTATGATTTATATATATATATATAATAAAAAGGAAAAAAGAGAGAATGGTACAGTGGTGTCTACCATTCACTCACTCATGTATAATAATATTATCTTATTTATTTATTTGTTTTCTTTCTTGTTGTAGGTCTCTCATAATTCATCTATAAAAGGGAGGCTTCGGCAGAGTAAGAGGAGGAAGAGAGGGCTTCGGCCTGAGAGAAAGAAACAGAGAAGAAAGAAAGGAAAAATGGGAGAGTGTAATTTGCATATATATTAGTGTGGTAGTTATATGGGTGTTAGAAACTAATATTTTCTTCTTAGGGTAGAGATGAATCCTAACCAAGTAATTGGGGTTAAGTTGTATTTACTATTTTTAGTTTTGATTTGATTTGGATAAATTCTTCAACTTTTAGATCTTTTATGCAATAAATGTTTTATTCAAATCATGTTATACAATTGTATTCACTGTTGTGTATTAAAATTATTAGATGAGTCATACCTAGTAAAACGGGTCATGCATCAACCTTAGTGTAGTTTAGTTTAGTGGTGACGGTTCGTCTAAGTGAATATGATTCGTGACTTTCTGATTTTAATATACAAATGCTCTTGACGATGTATTTCTGATCAACTTACATCATTTTATCCAAATTAATGATTTTCTGAAAACTAATACAATAACCTTTGATTATAAGGTTAGTGGTGGATTCACAACCTTGAGAAATTTCTTATTTTATTTATTTATTTATGTTTTATTAATTTTAATTTTATTATTTTCAAAAACAAACTCTTTAAATTACTTTAATTATTATTTTTGTATCAAAACAACTCGATTAGTCCCTGAGGATCGACACCTGATCTTAACAGTTATACTTTGGAATAGTAGTTATTACTTGGTTTTAAATAGAATATTTTGGTATGCAAATGATCATATTAGTCCCTCTATTCAAAGCAGCATATATCAGAAGATATTGCCTGTTGGTTTTTAGCTCAGTGACCCATCATTCTACGGACAAAACACACATGGGTGACAGAGATACTCTGAGAAATCAATTATATATCATCCTCAGCCATCGCCAACCCATCACTCAACAGGAAGAAAAGAATAGGCTCTGTCAAATTTAATAGAGCACTCAAACTCTGTATATAACATAGCTCTGAACACTGCTACAAAGCACAAGAAGACACAACGTACAAAACATTTTCTTCATTCTTCATCAATCACATCTTTCTTCATCTTCTGGAGTGTTCTTAATCTGTATTTCCTCTTTCCTCAAAAATTATCTTGAGCTTTAGCTTTAAGCCCATTTAAATGTGAGAGGTCCCTTTACTGATATAACTCAAAACTTCAATCTTTGTAATATTTCTTGAGAGTTTCATTACAGCTTTCCTTGAAAGCAAAAACACCATTTCAATTTGTAAGAGTGTAGTACACACGGTGTTCTTGAAACCTTGAGAGCGATTTCGAATCATCTAAGGATTTCAAGGTTCTAAAGGCCTGTAGAGCCTATGTAAAATCTGTGGAGGACTGCTCCATTTGTGAAGAAGTTGCTAGTGCCCCTATGAAGCTAGAGAAATAGTCGAAAATTTCAAGTGAAACTTGAGGAGGGGATGTAGCCTTGGTTAAAGCTAAATCGCAATAAATCTGTATGCCTTCTCTTCCCTTATCTCTTTACAGTTCATTTACTGCTATAGTTGATACAGTTATCTGTTGTTGAGTTCATCTCAAGTTCTTCACCTTTCTACTATAGCCAACTGATATTTCATTACCAATTCATTTTGCCATAACTATATGATATTATTGTGTTAATCATCCAGCCTTCATTTACTTATCAAACATTATATATCAAATATACTCATTGCCATAATCTACTTCTTACCATCTAATGTACTTGCTATATTTGTTATTCCTCTCGTTTAAATTTTTATTAGGTAATTGCTAGCATTTTAATTGTAGAAACCTAATTCATCCCCCTCTCTTAGGTGGTCTTTTGGGTAACAACGTTGAAGTTTGACTTCTAGTTGTATTTCTACCCTCAGAACCATGAGGATCATAGAATTGTCCACTTCTACCAACATACCAAAAGTCTTTTTAATCAATATTCAATTGTAAGAACTTCAAATCTGAGAAAAAGAGATATGCTTGCCAACATGATTTGTATTACGGAAAAGATCACATTTCTGTAGTTCATGGCAAACTGACACAAAAAATTATGGGCATTTAACAACAGAGGGCACACATGTCAAGGGGAAAAAAATTAGAGAGCAAAGATACCCATGCTATAAATAGAACACTTACAACGATGTGTGGTCGCTTCCCAAGGGCAATGCTTTGTTGTACATTGTCAACCCCTCCAACAAGCTGCATAAAAAGTTTTAGAAGCCACTTACTATTATAATATTTGAAAAGTATAAAAATAAAATAAAATCAATAAATAAATAAATAAATTAAAGTATAAAAAAAAAGATGAGAATTACATATTAATTTTTTAAACTTTCAATGTCCAAATAAGACATCTGAAATCTATACATGTGATACATATAATTTAACAGAGAAGCTTACCACAGCACACTTTACACCGATGCCAGATCCTAAAGCTTCAAACTGTTCAGCAATCTGGATTGCAAGTTCCCTAAAATAAGGAAAAGAAAACTGAATAAATATTGTACTAAAGGTTATCCACAAATAAGCTTTCTTCTGGCAAACAAACAAATGAATCAGATAACAAACCGTGTTGGGGAGAGCACACAAGCGAAAAATGCTTGAGGAGTTTCCAAAAGGGCCTGGAGAATGGGGAGTGCAAAAGCTCCAGTTTTACCAGATCCTGTTTGTGCAAGCCCAATCAAATCCTTTCCTAGAAACACAATCCATACAGCAGAATCAGTAAGTTGAATAAACTGAGAAAAAAAATTGGCCCATAAAGTATGGATTGCTTAAAAAAAGATATATTTAGAAAAATACTGCAAATGAAATGGTCCTCTTAACAAACAAGATCCTGATAAGGAATGTATAGTGTGAGATGAAGAAACAAAGAAACAAAGAAAACCTTCCAGTGCATGAGGAATAGCTTCAGCCTGTATCTTGGATGGGTGTTTCCAGCCTAGATTATCACAAGCCTCTATCAATTGGTCACATACTCCCAAATCTTTGAATGACTTGACTTCTTCTTTGTCCTCTTCCATTTTAAACTACCAATCTACCAACAGAAAAAAAATGTAATCAAGTTAAATTATTGACACAAATCCTATTGAAAACATCTATATCTACAGCTATCTACAATAAAAATCAAATTCTGTAACAATATTTATTTATTTATACTATTCTATAATGCTCACAAACATGTAAAATATTATTAGCACAAAATACACACTGCAGTGAAAAACAACAGCATCCTTAGAATATCCTACAGATTGCAACCAATCAAGAATGAATGTTCCTAATAATAATTAGTACCCATTATTACACTAAACATTTAAGATGCCAAATTATCATGAGAGCTTTCATTAACTTCAAAAGACTTCTACTTTTGTATAGCAAATCTGCTTATAATTATATGAAAAAAATGTGACAATGCTCGAAAGTATCTAGGTAAGTCAGGAAGACCGCATGTTCATGAGCCCAACCAATGAAATGTTATAGTTCGTCCACCATCTCCTTGTTATTAGGACCGTGCATTCATTTCGCCCCTTGCTATTTGTAGGGCACACAGCCAACGTGAATTTCCTGGAAGATAGGATAATGACTCGTAACAGAGACAGCATTTGAAGAGCCACTACAAAATTTCCATGAAAGGAGAAATTTCTTAGAGATCTTGTAGAAAATGTAACCAGTGCCACTAAATTGAATTGGCTACAAGGGCACAATTGAAAACAAAACGAACCTTGTTATCCAATTTAATATTGTGAATCTGTGGCTATCTACTCTATTACCCAAAACTAATGTAAGTCATCAACCTTGCCCCCAAAATAGACCATCCTCAAATCTACAAATGATAAGAAAAGCTTATCAATGGCTTGACTACCAATAGTCACCACAAGAGCACTTCCCACCGTTAAAATGATGAAACCTGTAAGGATCCCTCAACACAATTTCTCGCTGGATAATTTTACTGACAAACTTGAAAACAGAATGGCAATGTTAGAATAGGAATTAAGTTAGAGTAGGAAATGTGTGATTGTGTTTCCTTATATTATGCCTTACAGGACTCCTGTAATTAGTCAGTATTATCAATATAAAAGGGAATAAAGTCTACCTAATTCCCTAACTCTTTTTTTCCTCTAAACCTACATGGTATCAGTGCCAAAATCGTAGACCATACCTTCTTCTGTTTTGTCGACAATCACCCTAATATCACTGTTGGCAGCCCTTTCTTCCCCAAGAATCCAATCGATTCCGTAGCCTCTCACCCAAGCCGTCACCAGTCCAACCCCAGCCTTCGGCAGCCCAGGACGATCGTCTAGGGAGTCTGTCGGCAGCTTCTCTAGCACTCTAGGGACCTGTCGACAGCCCCTCTGGCGTCCTTGGCCTCTGTCGGGGTCTCCCTTGACTCCTAGGCTTCGGTCGTCTCTCTCAGTCGACGCCCCGCTTCTGTCACAATGTCGTTCGTCTCTCTCTCGCTGTGGGCAATTCGGTCATCGTCTCTCTCTCTCCCTTTTCTTATAATGGTTTGACCTAGTTACACAAAAAAAAAACTATTAGTCTTTTGATGATCTCTTTGTGGTCATAGTGTTTGCTATTTCTCTACCATCTTCTGAGTTTGTGATTGGCCCTGGGTTTAAGGGTTACTTAGTAGAATATTCATGGCAGATTTCACTAGTAGGTCCACAACTTCTCAACTGCCTAAGAGCGAGAGTTCCCTTATACCTTCTACTATGATTGATAATCTCAACCCTGGGCTTAAAATCACCACTTCTCTATTTAATGATCAGAACTATCTAGTGTGGTCGCAGAGTCTGACTATTTTCTTGAAGAGCAAAGGGAAGATGGGGTATATTAATGGCAGAATACAAGCACCCCTCACCACCAACCCGAGTTATGATCAGTGGGAGATCACCAACTCCCTCATTATGGGTTGGTTGATCCATTCTATGATCCCGAAGATTGGAGAGGGCTATCTCTCTATGGACACTGCACAGGATATTTGGAAGGCAGTGACCACCACTGTAGAAATATAATGTAAAGAGAAATAGAGAATTGTATTATTGATTGATTTGTTGATATTTATTACAATGATTCATGATTCCTATATATAGAAGAGGGTGAGTGTGTAGTAGGTGAGGAGTAGGTGAGGAGTAGGTGGAGAGTAGGTGAAGTAGGTGAGTGTGTAGTAGGTGGTAGTGGCAGATGTGTAGTAGGTGAATTTTAACAACCACTTATTCTCGGAAAGGGAACTTCTCACAGGCTTTCGAGTTACGTCGCTCCATTGAAAGGTCGGTCCAAGGTGAGATGACTATTCTCCAGTATGTTACCATCCTTAGCAATGGGTGGAAGCACCTTGATCACCTTCAGGATTATAAGCCTGTCTGTCTCGCTGATTCTACTGGTTACCTAATGTTTGTGGCACAAGAGAGGGTCTTCAAGTTCTTGAAAGGCCTTAAAGTGGAGTATGATCCAGTTCGGAGCCGAATCCTAGGCATAGATGTGCTTCCTTCTCTCCGGGAAGCCTTTGTTTTTGTGTAGAATGAGGAGAGTCACCGCTCTGCGATGCTTCCTTCTGCTATTACTAATCGCTCGGCCTTAATTTCTGCACCCCCTCGCGATGGTGACCGTGTGACTTGTGGTTCTCATCCTTCCTCTAAGAAGGATAATCTTTACTGTGACTACTGTCGTAGACCTCGCCACACATGCAAGACTTGTTGGAAGCTGCATGGAACTCCCTCTAGCGGCCAAAGAGGCTGTCCTGGTCCTCGAAAGGGTAGATCTGGTCAGTCTAGAGGCCGAGGGGCCAATGCCCGGGCACATCTTTCAGACACTGTTGAGCCACCATCTTCTTCTCCTGTTGTCTCCCCCATTGTTGATGTTTCGGGGTTATCTGCCCCGGATTTTGAGATTGCTCTTCACCACTTACTAGACCGTCGAGCCTCCACTTCTGCTACAAGTACACCCTCTTCTTTTGGCAATTCAGGTAACTTCGCTTCCTCCCCATATGCATTGCTCTCTCATATGACTGTACCATGGACTATTGATTCGGGTGCTTCCGACCATATGTCTGGCTCCTCTAATTTATTTTCAGAGTATAATCCCTCCTCAGGTCAGGACAAAGTGTGTATTGTTGATGGTACTATGTCATCTGTGTCAGGGAAATGTTTAATTCATGCTATCTCTTCCCTTCATTTGTCCTCTGTCCTCCATGTTCCAAATTTTGGTGTTAATCTTTTATCTTTGAGTCGTGTTTCCCGTGACTTTAATTGTAGCGTGACGTTTTTTCCTGATCATCGCCTTTTTCAGGACCTCATCACGAGGAAAAAGATTGGCAATGGTAGAGAGGAACATGGACCTTGTTTGGTTTGTGTTTCTCAAAAAATTTTAGAAAAAATTCTCTACAAATAAATTTTCAAAAGTAGTCAAACCAAACAAATTTTCCCAAAATTTTTTTCCAAAACTTGTTTGGTTTACAAGTTTTCCAAACAAATCCCTCTCTCATACACATCAAATCAATCACTTTTTCCAAAACTCTCTCTCAAAATAATTTTTCAAAACATGTTTTGAAAAAAAACAAAACCAAACAAATTTTCGTACTTTGTATCTCAAAACATGTTTCTCAAATACAAACCAAACAAGCCCATGATCACTACATTCTGGATCAGACCGACAAGCTGGCTCATTCATTTATTCAATTACCATCCACTAAGGAAGACATTTGGCAATGGCACCGTCGCTTAGGACATCTCTCTTTTTTATTAGTTAAGCATTTATTTCCTTCTATTTTTGAAAAAAATAATGTGTCAGATTTTCAATGTGAGTCTTGTCAACTTGGAAAACACCACCGAGCCTCTTTTGCTCCTATTAATAAAAGTCTTGTTCCATTTTCTTTGATTCATTTTGATGTATGGGGTCCATCACGTTTTGTGTCTTTAACCAATCAAAAATGGTTTGTTACCTTCATAGATGATTGTTCTCGGGCCACTTAGGTCTATTTGATAAAAGATAAAAGTGAGATATTTTCTTTGTTTCAAAACTTCCATAAAATGGTTTGCACTCAGTTTGGGACAGTTGTCAAAATTCTACATTCTGATAATGGAAGGGAATATATTGACTCTAGTCTTGCCACCGACTTCGCCACTCATGGCATTATTCACCAGACTTCATGCACTAATACCCCTCAACAAAATGGTGTTGCAGAACACAAAAATCGCCATCTTCTTGATGTCGCCCGTTGTCTATCCTTTGAGATGCGGGTTCCTCGATCCTATTGGAGGGAAGCGGTTCTCACTGCCGCTTATTTGATTAATTGTCTTCCTACCCAAGTTCTTCAGAAACAAACACCTCTTCAAGTTTTGTTCGGGTCAACCTCTCCCGGGTTTTCCATTTCTCTTAAGACTTTTGGCTATGTTTGCTTTGTCCATAATCATTCGTCTACTCGTGATAAATTAGACCCTAGGTCCCTAAAGTGTGTTTTTCTGGGTTATTCTGTCACCAAAAAGGGTTGTAAATGTTATCATCCTCCCACTCGCAAATGGTTTGTCTCCATGGATGTCACTTTCTTTGAGTCTCAGCCTTACTTTCCGACCTCCCTGGTATCCCAGTCATCCCTTCAAGTTGAGCCTTGGTGTGAAGAGATTCCTGTTCCACTTCCGCCCGTGGTTGAACAGATAGAGGATAATGGGCCAGCAGTTGTTGCGGAAAAAGAAGCAGGCAAAGTTTATATCAGGGACAAGAACAGACAGCAAGTCACCTAGATGCAAGAGACTACTTTCCTTCCTCTACTGCTAACTTCTTCTCCGGATAAATGTCCAAAGTCAAATCCCTCTCCTGAGAGTCCAGGTAATTCTGATTCTATTGCTCTTATTCCTGATGTTTCCAATCTTGATGTTCCCATTGCTAATAGGAAGGGGGTTAGGTCATGTACTCAACATCTATTTCTAATCATGTCTCTTATTCTAATCTGTCTTCGTCATATAAAGTTTTTCTGTCTAAAGTGTCTTCTGTGAGTCTACCTACCAATTTTCAGGATGCTTTCTCCATTCCTGAATGGAA